GGAAGGCCAACATGGAGAAGCAGCCATGGGCCCCAGTTGTCCCCTAACAGGTCTATTAGCCATGAGGCCTGAAGCTAGGCAGAGGCTGAGAACGAGAGGCGAGGAGGATCAAGGGATGGGGAGACAGGCTGGTTTGCAGCTCCACAGCCAGGAGGGGGTCCTCACTGGGCTGAGAATTGCCGCAGGTGCCTGAATCTTCTGCCCTGGGCAACCGCTGGCTTCCCTCAGAGCTTCTGACCAGATGAGCAGACAGTAGCTTCTCTTTCCACAGGTAGGAACGAAAGCAAAGCAGTAGTCGTTGCATTTGAGTTTGACAATACCTTCCATCCCATCAGAGGCCACTTCATGAGGAAAGTGCCACATAGCAAGACTATTTAAGACCCATTTTAAATAAGAACCCTGACAACTACAGGTATGCTTAGGAGGGTCTTCACACTTTTCTTTCCACTTTTACCTAGAGTGTAACAGTGGCTTGGATTTTACCACAGCTGTGCACCCACTAAAACACACTAAAGAAAAACTCTTGAGTCAAAGATCTGTGAATCCAATGAAATTAGAATTGTTTACCACTAAGATGACTGCTGGGTGCTGAGACTTAATTGGCAAAACACTGTCCCACATGGCAGAAATCAACATTTGTCTGTTAGACTGACTGAGCAGGGCTTCTCCACCATTACTGCATTCAACCTAGAGTGGTGAGTGGTCAAGGTGCACAACGCAGGAAGCTGCTAAGGCCCACTGCTAACAAGTACCAAGATCAGGAAAATGGAGGGCACCGTGACGATTCAACTCATGCTTGGAGTGGACTGTTTGTTTTTTTCAGTCTTGCTCCAGACTCTCTACCTTTTCACATTATTTCAGAGTAAAAAAAGAAGGGGGGCAGAAACCCTAAGAAATAAAAAGAGGAAAAATTGTACACATCTCTGTTTATCATGAGAAGTAAAAAAGAAAAATAAAATAACCTCTGCATTGAAGCTATGCAGTATTAGAATCAGGAGTTGAAGATTTATTTCATAATCTAATTTCTTAATAAAGTGTGGCAGATCAATTGGAAGTGAATAATTCTGCACAAACACATGAGCAGCAGCATTGGATTTACCCTACGTCAGGAGCAGGTGTCTCTCTACTTTCTTGGATAGTGCCTTTCCCTGCTGTGCGCGTTCAGTGTGTGGCATTGCGCTTGGCCCCCCTGAGACAGGGATTTCTGTATGGCCTTTTTTGGCCAATGGGTAGAGAACAAACTCCCAGGTTTGGAAACCAGAAAGAAACCATCTGGTGTCAATGTCCAGTGTGTACACATGACAGGCAGAGACAGAAACAGAGGCCAGACTCCATCAAAGGGTGTGCTCAGCAAAGGCTGCATTTGGTGACTAGAGTGAGAAACACCTGGGGTCTCACTGCAGCCGGAATAAAAATCATGGCACAGTCCCATTTCAGGAGCCTGAAGTACACCACTGTGTTGGAAACCACAAATCCCAAGCACTAGCCATATTCCCTTTTTGGTGGAGGCCTAGTCTAAAGGAATCAAAAAGTGATTACCCTCTCAGTAAATCAAATGTCACAGCTCCTAACAAGATGACCTTTTAGCATGACAGCCATGAAAATGACTATAATACAACCCTCTGAAAAGACACTGAAGCAAAGGGGGGTGGCGAAAGTTTACATTATTTTCATATGAAGAAACTTTCAGCTTTGGGAAACAGCAGCCCTGGAAAGAACACTACTCCCATTCCAGTTGACTGCTTCTGAAGTACTCTGTGGCCTTCCTGCAGCAGTGCAAACTGAGGTCTATTTTAGGAACTGGCTTCTGTACTGTGGGGTTAGATGCCAACATTTCAGCAGGGTTAGATGGTCTCACACATGAGTTTCTGGCACTGTTAGGAGGGATTTCCTCAAGTAATACACCAGGGAATGGAGCTTTCAGTGAAAAGCAGTTCCCCAGAGTCGGCTGCCAGCTCCTGGAGATTAATTGGCCATTTTCTCATATGCCTTATGTGCAAGATATTTAATATGGGATGAAAACAGAACACGAGGAAAAGCAGGTATGCGCTTGGTCTTAAGGAGGTGTTAATCCACAGATTTGCTTTTGTTTCGACAGTTTCTAAGCAGTGGAACAATTACCTAACAGTGCATCAAGCAATTTGGTAGGGTTGAAAACAGTAAGGGTGCTCATGTGCTCTAAGGCATTCTGGGCTGAAAACAGCAATTTTGAATTTTCATGGCAGACGCAGCTCCTAAGCTGGCTCTGCTCTGTCCTATAAGGTTTTGGCAGTGGTGGCAGAAAATGTCGTTGTAGGCCCGCGGCCGGCACCAACCAAGCTGTCAGTGCTGCACAAAAAGGAGAGAAAACAGAAGCAGCTGGGACACAGTTCCAGTTCTGGGTAGCTGATGGTGACTGTACATCTCTTTTTTTCCCTTTTGAAAAGAAGCAGAAAATGATGTTGGTGGAAAGTTCTCCTTAGGCGTTCACAGGGACTGCTAATAATTAGCAGGGCCCTCTAAATGGGCACTGGTGGAAACAAAGGTGGTAAGAACAGGGACCCAGAATTTCACCCTTGACTGTCGCCTGGTCTGACCCTGGGTGCTGTGAGCTGAGACAGGAAATTCTGTACACAGGACAAACATGGCAGAAGGGGCGGAGCTGGCCCTGCACTTTAGGACTCCAAATGCGGTGTGCTGGGAATGGCCTCGCTGACAGCTGGAATCACAGATACATTAATTATAGCGAAGGAAAAGTAAGTTACGGTGACTGGGAGCTGGGGGTGGAGGGAGAAGGCACTTTGCCATGGGAGCACATCTGTTTTATAATAAGCAGGTCTATAATTCTCTTGTGAAAGATCATGTTCTGCTATCTTCTCTGGGGCTGGAAAATATAAATACTGTATTTCACAAAGGGGAGGAGGAAAGGAGATGATCAAATTTGTTGGCCCGTTTGCCAAGTGTTTGAGATTTTCCACCCTTTTTCTTTTGTGTGCAACATTTACTATAACTAGGATGGGGAGACAGTCAAACTGCTTTTCTAAGACTACAAGGTACTGTGAGGCCCTGTGGATAGAACCCTGGCCTTTTGACACATTTTCATGCCTTCGTTATGGCTACTGTATAGTCAGAAAATAAACGCAGGTGTGGTGCTGAGCTATTAGGTTGAAATGTGTGGTCTGGGGCCAAAGGAGCTGGTGTGGGTTGAGAAGTGAGACGCCTCCATCTAACTGTAGAAAAGTCAGTCTGAAATGTCATCTCTAAATGGATGGAAGCATCATGAGTTGGGATCTTCAGGGAGCAGGTGTGAGGAAAGGAGCAAGGGGGCTGAATGTCCCCTGTACTTGTGAGCCACCGATACCCGAGACCTTTAGAGCAGTGGAACTACTAAACCATGAAGGCAAACAAGCATCTGCTCATTGCGAAAGCTACAGAATCCTCTCATGAAGTTGACTGAGAATTGTTTCATTCTAGGCATATTTTCCTGTTCTGGGAAGAGTTAAGGTGGAAGGAATTGGAGCCATCAGATTTCCAGTGCCATCCTACCTGCCACTTTGGTCACAGTGACTGCTAGACTGGCTCATAAAAGGGCTCTGCAGTGGGAGAATGCTGCCCTGACAAACAGCAAAGCAATCTGTTATATTTCTTACTCCTATTATATTCTTTTAGCACTTTTTGCTTTACTTTAAAGTGGCAATTATATATTTGTGTATATATTTACTTAAGCAATATTAGATTTAATGCATGAATTATATTCCTAAGTTTGGTATTTTCTTCATAGTCTAAAGTTGGTATTTTGAAGTTCCATGCTACTCTGATTTTTTAAACCATTAAAAAATATGAAAGCAAGAGTGGTTAAATTAACAAATTAAAGGTGAAAATGAAAAGTGCAGTGAAGAACAATGAGAAATAAAGCATTTAAAATGGATAGGTAGGAATTGCCTGCACGGGATTCTGTGAAATGAAAGTGGATAGTCTCTTTGAATACACGTACCATCTACCCTACCTAACAGTCTACATGCTGGAGGTCTTTAACACTAATCCTAGGACATTTCCTCTGGGCAGCACTGAGAAAAAATCATAAATATCACCCATGACACGCCTGGCAAGCTGTTCTTAAGAGAGCCATGGTTACAAACTGGCAAATGTGGCAGCCCCATCATTAGGCGGGCATTGGGATTCGTACCAGCAAACGCACCAACAACATGCAGTTATTGGTTGCAGAGGTCTCTTCTCAGGAAAAAACTTTCTGAGATTAACTCCAAAGCTAGAACCAGCTCTCATAGATTAGGGGTGTATGCTTTCTGTCAGAGGGAGCTTGCAGTCCTGGTTTCCAGCCATTCAGCTCTGCTTCGGTGATCCCACCTCTGCAGGAAGAACTGAGGCGAGAGCACTGGGAACACCGAGTCCTGGAAGGATCCAGGAGTCATTCTTGTGTTTTGAAGATTTTTCTTATGAAACAGATGATGATGGGTGTCTGACTCAGTTACCTCAGCCTCTGAAGACTAAAAATAAATAACACAAAAATAACCCGAAGCACTGTTGTTCTGCAGGAAATGCTTCCTCCTGCTCCTAGCGTAATAAAATGGCTCTTGAGAGCCAAAAAAAAAAAAAAAAAAAAAAAAAAAAA